AGGATTTGGGGCTGGGAGGACTGGCTGGGCCTGGTGTGGAAGTGGTTAAAGGGATGGGTCTGAGGGCAAGGGCTGCCTTGCCTTGATTTATGGGCTGGCTGAGTTAATTTGCTCTTTGTGTGTGATTAGTTGCTGTTGCTGAATGGTCATCTTCCACAACTACAAATCTAATTAATGCCGGGGTGCCAAGTGTTGGTTTGGTGTTTTGTTGTTTGTGGGGGTTTTTATTGGTTTTTTTTTTTGTTTGTTTTTTATTTTTTTTTTTTTAAATCCCTGGAAAATATTTCTGCTGTCTTAATACTTGAGAACTGATCATTAATTAGTATGAGTCTGCTAATAGCCAGCTGGATGGTTTCTTGGTTCTCCTCACTTCCAAATTTGCCTGGAGAAGGGTCTCGGGAGCTGTGGTGACTCTCCAAGCAGCCCACCAAGGTGTCTGCTGGGATCAGCAGCTTGCAAGGAGCAATCTGCTTTTTCCGCCCCCCCACTTCCCAATTTTCTGCAAAACCTGGGAAGAGGGGTAAAACAGCTCCCCGAAATATCTGCTTTCCCCAGACAGCTGTAATTCCTTGGCGGCATTTCCAGCTGGCTCTGTGTTTCGGGGTTCTGGTGCCGTCCCTTTCTGTGTCCATGGCCTCATCAAACCTTTCCTCCAGCTAAGACATAAATTCGGGAGGTTTTGAGCTCAGAGATTTCAAAGCCGCGCTGAAGCACATGGAAATGATTCTCAGGGCTACGGCTATAAAAATAATTGTATTGCCAGGGGAAAGGGTGACATGAGATGTCCCCAAAAGAGATCTCGGCGGTGGTTACAGGATCTGTCCCGACTCTGTAAGAGCCCGCTGTTATCGCCCCGGCTCATTTATCACCGCTACCTATAACCGCAGGAAAAATGCCCCCCCAAAAAGCAATGTAGGAAGGAATCGAGAGGGGAGGCCGCTCAGATAGAAGCGTTTCAATCTCCCCCTTTGTTTTAATGAGGATGCTTTGAAAATTAGGGCGGCTCTGCAGAGCTGAGCGGTGTGAGGTTGACTAATTTGGAGACAAATTAGGTCTATTTAATGTCTGCCTCGATTGTTCCCTTAATGACCCTTCAACGCACATCTCTCCCGATAGGACTTTTTACCGCAGCTCTGCCTCCAGCAGATTAAGTAATAACATGTTTTTACCACTTTTCTAAGCGCTCCTTCGGACCCGATCCAGCATTTTCCCTCCGCCATGCGTGTCTCCAGCCCTTTCTGATGGGTAATTCATTTATTTGCGTCTAGCCCCTGGCAGATTTGTCTCTTTGCACGTCTCCTTCTCCGGAGCATTTCCCTTGCACCTTCTTTTTCAAAGATCCCTGAGCCTGAGAGGTTTTTGGCCGACTTGCAGCGTGTTTGGTGTCTGCTGGGTTTAAACAGATTTATCCTTTCCCAAGGAAAGACGTGAACGTAAACAGAGGATCCAAAATGCATTTTGCTGGGCTTTTTAAACGCACTGAGATGAAACCCCCACTCCTCCCTGCCGCTACAAGGCTATTAATGTAAATACCAAACTTTACAATCCTTCCTGTCAAGGCAACTTATTTACATTTTTTGAAGGATGCGTATAAAAAAACCCGGGGCTTTTGGGACAAAAAAAGGGCTTCGTTCCAGTGTCGCTACACCCCCAGTTAACTGTGCTGCTCTCTATACACTATAGAATTAGGTTTTGTTCCCAGGGCCAGCAGAGATAACATCTGTTTGCTTCTTTAAGGAGAAAATGAAATAGGATGCTGGTGTTCTATACTGGAAACAGCCCTTCGAGTCTGAAGGGGTGATGGCATGAGGGCTGTGGATTGAACTCATGCCTTAAACATGGTTTCTCCAGCACGGAAAAGGTGGGAAAAGGGGCTCCCAGAGCCAGTTCCAGCCCAGGGGATGCGAAGGGCTCGTTCCCAGTGAGTGGGAAGGAGCAGCAGGCTGCTCATACTGGTGCGGGGCTCAGGACTGTGCTGACCTTTGCGCTTTGCTGCTGGTCCTGCCATCCCAGCTGGACAGGCTTGTTCCCTGCTAAAAGGAATATCAGCAAATGTACTGTCTTGGGTTTGTTTTTTTTCCCTGATTTGTTCTTTTCAGTTCAGAGCCATTTTAGAACACTTCGAAGGCAAAAGGAAAAAGTGGCTGCAAGGGGAGGGGTGCAGGTGCCGGCAGTGAGGATGGGGAGATTTTGGGGGGAGGAAGGCTCAGCTGAAACATCCCACTGCAGTCTTAGAGGTGCAAAAGCTGCGCCTGTTTCTCCTGCAACTCCCAGAGCCAGTCAGTTGTCTGGAATTCCATGGAGCAGAACAGGAAAAGCTCTCGTGGCCAGGGAAGCGAGCAGCAGCGACCTGCTGGCACTCTCAGGGGCCAGGTGGCATTTTCCCAGTTCCCAAGGCTCTGATTTTCTAATCAAACAGCTCCTCTGATTTCTGTTTTGCTTGCAGCCAGAGGGGAGTGAGCATCCCTCTGAGAAGAAAACCTTTCCTTGCTTCTCTCTCCCCAAAACCTCGGGAAAGGGGAGGATGGCAGCTCAGCCTGAGCAGCGCTCGCCCCACGTTTGCAGTTCCTACTCCCTAGGAAAGGCAGGAGCTGATCCCAAACCCACAGGGCAACTTCTTACGGATTTTTTGTCCATTGAGGCAGCACAGGCTGCTCCCCTCTCCCCCGTGAAAAGTCCCACCACCCAACTAAACTCGCCTGTTTTCAAGGGGTTCTTGAGGACCTAGTTGTAGTTTTATTTTTTATTTTCTGGCAGCCGTAATTTCTGTCGCCATAAATGATAGAATTTGACACCGCACCGCACCAGGCCATTTGTCAACAACCTTTTCAGCAGTCCAACCACACGTGTGTTCCTGCACAACACAGGCACAGGGAGAGGTGGAAAGTTTGGGATCTTCCTCTGCAAGAACCACCACGGAGCACTGGGTTGGAGGTTGGGTTACGGCTAAGGAGCCGAATTCCAATTTATTCCAAATCAGACCAAAACATGCCAGGCTTTGGTTCTGCATGGTGATTTTTTCCATTATATCCTCACCTTTTTGAGGGATAGGGACAATCTGAGCACCTACCTATAAAGTCTGCATCATCAGAGCAATGTTATTAATAATTTAAGCAACAAGGAGTATAAAACATGGTTTAAAAAAGGCAGGTTTTTCCCCATGTGCTAGGAGTGGTGGTGTATTAGATAGCAGATTTCCAACCATCCTTGGCTAATGGCAACACATCATTTGGGAAACAACAGAATCAATGCATTGTTCCAGCCCAGCACTTTCCTATTCAGCCAATCTAAACTGCTGAAGAAATATGTGCTGGGGACATTTTACATCTGGTTTTGACAAGAAGCCTGGGTTTTTGTGGGTTTTTTTTTTTTTTTTTTAATCTGTTTGCTGCAGTTTTTTAACCCAGATTAGCATGGGAAAAGGCTCTCTGTTTTATAAACGGAGGGTTTAGCTTTTGAAAAACTCATTCAGTCTTGGATTTTTGCAGTTGAAATCGGGGCACTATGTGCAAAATATAAGAATGCCAGTGATGGCCATAAACCCCACAACAACAGTGTTACTTATTTAAATAGAGCTAAACAACAGGCAGCTCGTGCTAGAGGTAGAATGGGTAGAATAACTAATTTTGAGACTTTTTTCTTGCTTTGGGGAATCACTCGAATAGCTTAATTCCAGCACCAAAGTGCAAATTCCAAACCATTTCAGGATTCAAGTGAAACATTTACATCTAAAATGGTTCTACATCTGCTTCCCACCACTAGTAAGCCATGCTTTCACATTTTTCAGCTCTTTGAACTGAGGCAGTGCAGTTGCATCAAGTTTTTGCCTGAATTTTATTTATTCAAACGGGCCATTCACTGCTGACCGAACAAAGATGGATTTGCCTCTTTAAACAAGCCCAGCCAATGGGCTGGGATAAACTTTCCTCTTCAGCTCTGCACATGATGAAATTATTTCATTTTTACATCACAAGGGTGGCGGGGAAAAATGTCCCTTCAGAGTGTTTGCATGGTGGAATGGGCTCGTGGGCTCTGTTTTATGTACGGAGCCCCAGAGAGTGCCCAGCCAGACCCAAACTCCGGCTGACACAACGCAGAGCCGCTCTGCTTAATTAGCTGGAGATGAGGGTGTTATTAAAAGGCTTTTCCCCCCTTCCTTTCTGACTGTTTATTCCTCCCTCCCCAAGGCAGCTGAAGAGGAAGTAGTTTTCTGCTCATGGAAAGCGACGAGGAAGGGTTTGGTGAGGAGAGTAAATAAGAAACTGCACCTAACGCCAGCCACTGCTCTACCATCACTTTGGGGAAGGGAAACTGGACAAACCCAAAAATTTAGCAGAGTTTCTCCCGTGTCTGTTTGCTTTTTGCTGTGCGAGGGGGAAGGGACACAGCCCAGGACTGCAGCCGACATCTGCTGCTCATTTCTTTTAAGAGAAGCACAACCTGGGGCGAACCCATCGCCGAGCCCCGTCTGGGTCCTGCCGACCCCCTGGCCCCCCAGCTGGGAGGGAATGTGGCCACCACAGGGCTCAGCACTGGGGTTTTTGGGGTGCAGACACCCACAGAGTGGGGCAGCAGCTGTTTTGGATCCCCTTGTCAGCCTGTTGTGGCCATCACCTTTTCCTCTCTGAGCCCTGCTCCGAAGCAGCGCTTTCTGGCAAATCTCACACGGTGACGGCTTTCCCCTCTGTCCCTCATCATCCAGCTCTCAACACCAGCCCCCTCTTCTCCCCATTCCCACAGAGCAAAAGCATGCTGATTATTATTTTTCACCCCCCCCCCCCCAAAAAAAAAATAAAATCAATCTCATTTTTGCCCTCCTGGAAGCTCCATTTATTCAAATTTCCTCCAGCACCGGGAGAGCGGGAGGAACTGGATGTGTCTACTCTGCCCTCCAGGTCAGTGACCCCAAACCCATCAGCACCCCCAGCATTCCACAAAGGGCAAAGGGAAGGAAACAGACCCAGGAGAAGTCATCCAGGAGAAGAGAAACGGGTACCTACCCCTTGGGCTGGCCCGGCCCGGCCCGGGCGGTCGCTAGTGGGAGGCCGACATGGACCACGCTCCCTCCATCCTCCACACAGAGAAGGCATAACTGAGCCTCTCATGAGCCACGTAACTGCAGCTCGTCATCTTACTGTCCATCTCGTCGCTCTGTAGCACCTGGTAGAGGAAGTCTATGTACCGCGCCGCCAGCTTGAGCGTCTGGATTTTACTCAGTTTGTCAGAGGGCAGCGTGGGGATGATTTTCCTCAGGGCGGCAAAAGCTTCGTTGAGAGACTGAGTCCTCTGCCTCTCTCTGACGTTGGCCAGGATCCTCTGACTCTGCAGTTCTTCGTAAGATTGGGAGCTGGGACTGGACTTCTTCCCCCTCTTCCCTGGGTTGGGGCTGCCATCTTCGCTGGACTTCTTACTGTATCTTCTCTTCCTGCCAAATCTCTTTGGCTGCCTTTCCAGCTCCTCTTCACTGGTCCCCAAGCTATCCACAGGGGAAACAGGAGAACTGGAGCTTTCTTCCATGCTTTCTGCAAGAAGGGGAGGGGAAGAGCCTTTCCCCCCCTCCTTATGTTATGTGAGTGTGTGTGTGTCTTAAATGTGCTTTAAATTCCTGAGACAGATCCTTTGGAAAAACAGGAGGACTCTTTTTTTCTTTTTTTTTCCTTTTTTTTTTTTTTTTTGCTGACCAAACGTTTTCCAGGTTGCTTGAAGGGCTCTTATTTCAAGGACCGAGGTTGTGTAAAAAAACTGAGGTCTTGGAGAGAGGAAGTTATTCTAACTTTTTGGAAACTTTAGCTGAGCTCAGTTGCTAAATAGTTGTCAGAAGTGAGGGAGGTGCGGGGCTCCCTCCTGATTGGCCGGCCAGGTCGGTGGGAGGAAGGCTTTTCCCCTGCTAAACTTTCACAGTTTTATGTTACACTTAACTAAAATCTTGGGAATGCACCTCGAATCGAAGATAGCTGGTGAACGCCACCCCCCGCCCCTGGGTATGCTGGATTTGCAGCACCAACCCCCCCACCCACCCTGGGGTTTTTGGGGTGCTGCCCAGGGTCCCGTTCCCAGCAGAGGTTCCGTGCCCAGCTCGGGGTGCAGAGGGAGCTCTCCAAGCACAAGAGTTTGCCCCGTTCTCATGGAACGGGGCGCTATTCTCCAGCCCCCCGTGCTGGGGGTCCTGCAGGGATGGGGTGGGGATCTGCCTCCCCATCCCACAGGGTCACCTTGGAGCGGCAGAACATCCCTGGGGCACGCTAAGCCGTGGCAATGGTGGAGATTTGGGGGCAGAGGGGACAAACCCCGACTTGTGGGGGACATGCCTTTGGGTTTCTTTCCTCCTGGACAAACCCAAAATATCGATCATTTGGAAAGCAGCTAATAGTTTGTGGAAAAACCCTTGGAGAGGCAACACTGGCCATGCACTGACATTTTCTCCCCATTTCCCCCCTTCCTGATTTTAGGGAATCAGCAGCCAAGGTAGGTAGGAGGACATTTTTTCCTCCTTCAGAATATCCTGCTGCTGAATTTGTGGAATCCCAGCACACAAAAACTGCGAGAGCAGGATTTTTGATCTATCCAACAGAAGACAACAGGTCTCTTTTTCCCTCTCCATCATGCCGTAGGGGGAAATGTGGGAAAACTCTGCTGGCTTCTGTGGAGCTAAGGCAGAGAAAGATCAGATTTGAACCTCTGATTTCAGTCACAGCCCAAATTGCAGGAACAGATGCATTCCTGAGCGGCAAAGATCATGTTTTCAAAATAGATCAGGGAAACAAAATAAAATAAAATAAAATAAAATAAAATAAAATAAAATAAAATAAAATAAAATAAAATAAAATAAAATAAAATAAAATAAAATAAAATAAAATAAAACAATAATAATAATAATAATAATAATAATAATAATAATAATAATAATAGTACAAGAGAAACTCATAAAATGTTGATGCTGTATCAGAAGAATTGGTTTGGAATGCGTTTCTTTGCGAAGTTTTCCAGTAGGTATCAACACTCATTAACAGAAAAAATAATGTCTGGTTTGATTGGAAAGTGTTCCTTGGTAGGAGAAGGAATTTTTGGCTTGCCTGGGGCTGGCTGCACCGCTGGTAGGTAATGTTTATAGTGGAAAGGCTTCCCCAGGCAGCCCCCGGGGAGAGCCTGTGTTTGCTTTCCAAAGGAAAGGTTTTCAGGTGCAGCACAGAAGTCGGAAAGCGAGGCCATTCTGCAAATAGATTTTTAATCCGATTTAAGACCCCGGTAAGCTGGGCAGGGTGGGTGCTGCTCCTGTTCGTACCCCAAATGCGTTTCCAGAGGGTTTGGGGCTGGATCTGAGGGTTGATCCAGCATCCGAAACCTGGAGTTCCAGGAGTACAAGTGGGCTGGGACGGTGCCTACCACGGACCTCAAAGCTGATGCCACCCCTTGAGAGGGGTATTTGGTTTGTCCTGCGGTTATTTAGGAGCCTCCTGAGTGCTTGGGATCCTTCCCAATTATTGAGGGAAGCCATCACTGAAGGCTGGAGGGGCACCATTCCTGGTTTTCCCAGCAAACAGGTTCTTGTCTCACAGCACTACGCGTGTGCAGGGATTTCAGAGGCGCTGTGGGTTAGCAGGGATTCATGGAGCACGGGAGAGCAGGGGGATGCAGGGATTCATGGAGCACGGGAGAGCAGGGGGATGCAGGGACTCATGGAGCACGGGAGAGCAGGGGGATGCAGGGATTCATGGAGCACGGGAGAGCAGGGGGATGCAGGGCTGAGCTCCTGGGGTGTCCTGCCCAAAAGGGCTGCAGGTGTCCACAAAACACCGTTCAGGGAGGGAGCAGGGATGTTTTGGGCTGCGTTTGAGAGCACCAGGAGCAAGGGAAGATGATCCCAGCTGGTGAGGAGGGTGAGTGGATCTGCTGGTTGTACCTCTCCTCTCCTGTCCTCTCTTCCTGCCCTGCCAACATTTATTTTCCAGCTTTTTATGGCCCAGCCATGACCACCGAAAGCAGGGCTTGACCTCCCAGTGTGTGAGGTGTTTCCACGGGCTCAGATTTGACCCTACCAGTGACAGAGGAGTTCTGGGGGTGGACTGTGTGGATGGATGTCAACATTTCCTGTTCTCAGCTGGCAGAGGGAGTTTGGGATAATCCCATGCAAGCATAGGCACAGCTCCTGGGCATTTCTCTGGAGCTGTGCTGAGAAAAAGCTGTGGCCACGTGGCGTGATCCTGGTCCAGCTGCTGCTCCTGGCACTCCGGGATGTGCCTCTCTGGGCTGCACGGCGGCAGCAGCAGAGCAGCCCCGCGCTCCTCTGGGTTAAACAGCTAATATTAAGTAAATAAATTAAATAAAAACCTGCCTCGCTTTAGCAAACGAGACCGAAGGAGTGTTTGCAGGATCGAGGCAGGATTTCTCCCTAAGGGAATTGCTGCTGTGCATAACCTCTAAATGTGCAAAGCCTTTTAGTATCAGGCAGGCTTCATTAGGGGAAATTTATGGTGGGATTTGGCTGTGGGGTAATTATGGAGTCTCTGAGCCCGGCTCCGGCGAGCATCGCTCTGGAGCTGCCGCTTGTGTGTGTGCGGACCCTCCACTGCTGCAGTGCTTGGTGCCAGGACTGGTGGTGACAATCCTGCAAATATCTGCCCTGGAGCAGACCAAAGGCAGGGGACCAGCCTCGGCTGAAACGTGATCCAGGTCTCCTGGAGGACAGGGGAGTTTGGGGAGGTTTGTGGGGGAAGCAGCGTGAAGGTGCCACTGGCAAAGCGGGCTGGGCTGGATCCATCCTTCCTGCCACCACAGCAGGGTGGGAGAGAGGTTAGGGAGTAAAAACTGCCACATAAAAGAATAGTTTCGGAGGAATTGTAATGCCCTGTTTGAATGTGACACTGTCAGGCTCCCAGTTTATTTTGTTATCAGGCAATAATGAATATGGATTGAGATTTGGGGTCAGTGCTTGTTCTCTGTAGGAAGCCTGTGGTCCAGTTGTCCCCTTGGCAGGATTTGACCAGAAAATCACCCTCTGGCCTCTCTGTGCTGAAGAGGAGAAAGTTTGGATTTTAGCCTCCTGCCACCCCTGCCTCTGGCTTGTCGTGGGAAGCAGGAAAAGATTGGATGCCAGTGCAGGTAATAACCTTTCAGGGCACCCAGCTTGCTCTTCCAACCCCCTTCTGCTGGAGAGCTGCCAGGGACGCCAATTTTTGGAGAAAAAACTGGGGAAAACCAGACACCGTTGTGCTCTTTTGCCCTCCTCCTGTTCCTGCTATAGAGGAGAGCATCCCTCCTCCCTCCAGAAACATCCCGCTGCAAAATTGCATCGAACCACCTCTACTGCAGCCCGATCTGGTTAAGCTGGTTCGGTTTTCCCCCTCCTTTTTTAAAGGGGATAATTCCTCAGTGCTTGTGCAGCACTCAAAGGGAGCGACCCGGTGTGGGCACCTTGCCTGTGCTGCCTTGGGATTGTCCCTGCTCCTTCTGGTGCCTGGGCTTTGTTCTCTCATCCCTCGTGTCCCCCAGAGCTCTCCCCCTGCGGTGACAAGTTCCTAATCAAAAGCAAAGGAGCAGATAAGGGGCTTTAGGGATGAGACGCTCGGAGCGGAGCACGGTTCCAAAGTAATCGGATCCGCTCCGGCCGCAGTTTTGTGCAGGAATGTACATCTGTTTCTGAACTGTTACCAGCTGATGTGCCCGCTCTTCGCTTCTGCTTCCTCCGCTTCCAAAGCCCCGGAGCAGCGGGACCAGCGCAGGAGAGGCTGAGTCGGGGCAGCGATTCCCACTGTGGGATGATCCTGGCAATAAATGCAGCAAGGTGTGCTTTGGATCTCCCTGTAAGGACAGAGGTGGTAGCAGCTCTGTCCTTGCTCCATGACCTGGATCCCTCAGCTTGGTGCTTGAGGACCCTGGAAACAGGGATCTTTTTAAGCAAGGCTTGCAGGAGGCTGACAGAAAAAAGACTAGGGAAGGACTTTGAGGTTTTCCCAGCGGATGTCCCTTTCTCCCAGGAAATGCCCACAGGCTCTTTGTCCATCTCCTTTATGAAGGTGGCTGCTACATCCAAGCTTTGACCAAGCAAGGTGTGAATTTTAAGGGTCATCGTGTAGAGGAGAAGGCTCCAGGGAGAGCTCAGAGCCCCTTCCAGGGCCTAAAGGGGCTCTGGGAGAGCTGGAGAGGGACTGGGGAGAAGGATCAGAAAGGATGGGACAAGGGGGAATGGCTTCCCACTGCCATGGGAAGGGTAAGATGGGATATTGGGGAGAAATTCTACCCTGTGAAGGTGGTGAGCCCCAGAGAAGCTGTGGCTGCCCCACTGGAGCATGTCTTGGAGAGGAGAGGTGCTTCTGAGCCCTTCTAACTCCTGTAGGACACAGGCAGGTGTTTAAAGTTATGGATACATTAAAATCAGGCCTGAATTTCTCTCCCTCTGGAATAAGAAGGGAGATCTTCAGTGTCTTCTACAGGTTTTTGGGATCTCAAGCACAAAGCTGTTGGGGGCCCATCCCCATCTGCACCGCTGTCAGTAGGACGAGGAGAATCTGACCAGACCTAGTTCTGCCTCAAACATGGGGTGCAATGTTTCAGATCTGATCATGGATTTCTGGCAAGGTGAGAAATCCATGTAATTTCCCGTGCTGGCAGCACTGGGATGGCAGCGCGCGTCTTGCCGCGGAAAGAAACCCAAAGGCAGCAGCATCGCTGTTGTGGATTCTATTTTTAATGACAGCACAGAAAGGACGGGTGTTCTGGGGAGTAAAAAGTGGTGGCTATCACGATTCCAAAAATAACATTTCTA